CAAACGAATTATTGTATATATTAATATTTATACTAATCATATAAAAAATTTAGTAGTTAATATGGTATGTTTCTGCTTATTATTTTCTCATGTGGTCTTAATATAAAAAATTTAATAAACAAATTAATGGTAATACAAGTATAAATAATTTAAATGAAATTAAATAAATCTATTAAATACTATTAAGTAAAAGTAAAATAATTCTAATAAAATTACCCAATAAAAGAACATTAGTTACCTTAATATGAAAGACATGTCATTTGAATTGAATATTAATTTAAATTAATTTCAATATATTTACTTTATTAAATTTCATATACCTGTAATTCAAACCTTATTTTAGTATAAAGAGAATTAAAAAATTTATTTAATATAATATTTTTAAACTTTTATTTCCGTAACGCATTTTGGGCTATTTTGAGCTGCAAGTTCCACTGTGCGTATAAGCCATGACTCACTCTTACTCCCACTCAGACTGCCATCACTTGCACAGCTGCACATCTCTAAACTTTAACATTATGGTCACACTGGTTCGCAAGTCAAGTGTCGTTTGGATCGTAGCGCGCACGTACCAAAATACAAAAACAAAATCACATAAAGAAACTGAAACTTGAGAGAGAGAAAAAAAAAACACATCGCAAGTCTGTCAACGATCGTCAAGGCGTTAAGTCGACGTCGCGCTGTGCCGTATTGTTTATATATGTTAGCGACATTAATGTTGTTTGTATTTATTTTTGTTTTATACACATACAAACATATATTCTTTACGTGTGGGTATGTGTGTGTGTGTTTGCTGCGGCGACTCGACGAGTAAATAAACAAAACGAAACGGTACGAGCGTCGCATAATTGAGCGCACTCCCCCACCCCCTTGCTCAATCGATCCCTCGCTCTTCCTTTCCCGCTCGCACGCATGTACGCTGCTCTGTGGCAGAGGAGCCAGCGATTTGTGACGGTGGCCTACAGTTAAAGCGAAAAAAAAAATCAGAAGAAGAAGAATAAGACGCAAACCGGCAAACAGCTAGCAAAGGTTTAACAATTTAGCAATTGCAATTCGAACTGTGCCAACGAAAGAAAACAAAAACAATTAAATAAAGAGGTGCAACAGGCAGCGTGTGTGGAGCGGACCTGGCCTGAAGGTCAACCGCATCTTACAAGTTTTTTTAAAGTTTTTTTTTTTTTGTTTTGTTTATTAAAGTTTGCTTTTTGGCTTTTGCCTTTACCGGCTGCTGCGTCAGTGCACAAGAATGTGTTAATTTGGTATTTCAACAATCACAGCAACAACAATAACATAGGCAGCAACAACAACGTTGAAATGTTGGCATCTACATAAACATAAACAATATTGTATTTGCATAAAAAGCTTAACAAAACAGAAAATATAAAAAACGAGAAAAAAATACAGCTTTAAGCCGACTTCACAATACACTTTGCCAGTGTTGCAAGGAGCCTTAAGAGTGCTCTAGTGAATGTAAAACTATGTGGAGTGACGGTCTCTAAAACTGCGGAACGCTGTGCCTGTGCGCAAGCACTGTGACTCTGAAACTGTGGTTAACGGCGACTAATAGTTAACTGACTCTAAAACCGTATTGGTATTTGTAGTCAATGATTCTTAAATTGTGACAAGTTACTCTCTGAAACTGTGAAGTGATATTTTAAAACAAAACTATTACTGAGACTCCTTGCCCCATTTGTTATTGAGATTCTAAAACGGAAGAAGATTTTGTTTTTTTAAATCAGTGCAACTCTCAATCAGCGGCTTTACCACTCTGAAGAGTTAATGCTTTACAGAGATGTTACTGGAACTCTTAAACAATAAAGTTTTGCTATGCATTTTTGTTGTGACTCTAAAACTGTGAACATTGTTGTGACTAACACTGCGTATTAATTTAAAAATATATATGTATAAATATCTATATATATAAAGTAAAAAGAATCATCAAAAGCCAATTAATTAGTGTGTATTAATTTAAAAAAAAAAAGAATAATAAATAAAAATAATAAAAGAAATATGTAAATAAAATACAGCTCAATAGCTTCTTGCAAAGCGTAATTAAATTATTTAATTTTTTTTTATCGTTAAATAGAATAAAGGCAACATTTTAAATAACTCTAAAACTGTAATCTGAGACCTGTGACTTTAAACTGTAAATTGTGTAGATGAATTGGACTTTGGGCACAGAAATTGTTGAAATAAATAAAGTTAAATTTTGAAAGCAATCACTCTAAAACTGTTGTAAATTTTCAACATCATAGATTTAAAATATATGATCAAAAATTTAAGCCCTTTCAAAAAATCGTTTTGAATGAATGGCTCTGAAATTATGACTCTAGTGCAATGACTGTACAACTATGCTTTCCAAAGTGACTTTCTAACTGCGCCCTACCAATTACTGTACATATGTAACTAAAGCAACACAAGCTGCTCATCCTCTCTCGTTCTCTCTGTCAACCTCAAACTGTCTATCTCTTTCACTTTCTTTGTCTCCCTCTCGCTTTCACTTTCTCTCTCTTTCTTTTGTTGTTACCTTTTCCTTCTTTCTTGATAAACATAGTACAGACGAGCGTTAACAAAAGGCCAGCACACCGTTAGCCAAGCAAGAAGAAGAACAAAGCAAAATGTACAAAAATGTCGTTAAGCAGCAAGAGCAGCGACTGCATCTGCTGCTGATGCTGCTGCTTGGCCTCATCTTTGGCGGCTGCATCTCGCGTCTGCTGCAGCTGGCACGGCGCGAATTCTCCAGCAATGGCAGCGCCTCAACTGATGCCAGCAGCAACGGACAGACTGCACATACTCTGTACCGCTGGAGGATGCCCGCCGATCCCAATGGGAGCCAGCGGATACTCTGCATGGTGACGGTGCGACCGGTGGGCAAGAAGCGACAGGTGCACATTGAGAACACCTGGGGCAAGCGATGCCACAAGCTGCTCATCCTCAATGGCAACAAGAATACAAATGAGCGTAGTCCATTGATGAGCGAGAATCAGCAAACCAACAACAGCAGCAGGTGGAGCAGCAGCAGGTGGAGCAGCACAAGGAGCAGCAGCAGTAGCAGCAGTATCTCTTGGGGTCGCACTCGGGAATATCTGCATCATGTCTATACGCATTACCATGGGCAATACGACTGGTTCCTCATGGTGACCGACGAGACGTATGTAAATGCCATCGAGAGGTCTGCCCATTTCTAATGATAAACTCTTGGCATATTTCCCTTTTAGCTATGTGATCATGGAGAATCTGCAACATTTGCTGATCGACTACTCGCCCGAACTCCCCATCTACTTTGACAGCTTTACTTATACGCAAAAGGAAAATGTGAGTGGACTTAACAAATAACTAAAATTAGTCGTGAATATAGTTAAAACTGAATGTGTGAAGAAAAGTTTGATATTGAAAGACTCCATATTAGACAGCATAAAGTATAACCTAAATATACAGTAAAGTTTTTTCCTGCTCAAGGTATCAAGATGAGTCGGTCTAGCCCCTACAAATCTGCCCAACTAACCATCCATCTATCTACATTAGTATCGCTAGTTAATAGGGATTTCAAATTGTTTTTACTTCCTTCGATTATTACTCGATTATTACACTAGAAGGAATAAAAAGCTTAGAAAACTGTAAAGAGTAATTCGTTTCGAATTTTGATTATTATCGGTATTATTGGTCAAGCAATTTATAACTAAGTGGCTAGGCCAGATCATTTTGTAGGGATAATTTGATTTTGTGACGTAAAAAAGAAATTTGGCGATAGTTGCGATAGTCTATTGTCTACCACTTCGATATTGGTTCGATAATTGGCAGGGGAAATTAAAGATTACATATAAAAAATTATACATATTCGAAATAGTTTTAGAAATTACATAATATACAAAAAATTAGACTTGAACAATTAATGTATATAATAATAATAATAACTTGGAATTTGCTGCCCACTAAAATTTGTTTCAAAATAAAATGTCTTATATTAAAATTTCCTATTCCTTATCCAACAGCATACGAGAGGTGGCTCAGGTGGGAATTTGTTTAGCAGAGAGGCGCTGCATCGATTTGTGACTCTGGGCCATGGTAATAGCACCATTTGCAGCAGTCACAATTATGGCCTTAAGCATGTGGAGATTGCGCGCTGCTTTCGAAATGTGGGCGTGGCTCTTGGCAGCAGCAGCGATGCGCACGGACTGCCGCTGTTCGTGAACAAACTTGTGAATGTAGGTCAATTAAAATGCATCAAATTAATATTAAAATATCTATACGAATTTCTCATACACTTACAGATTACACTCGGCTGCTGCTCAAAGTCGGCCATAACATTTAACTGTGTGACTATTAAATGTTTTTATGTCATGGAATACATGGTTTATAAAATACGTCCGTTTGGCTTGAGTTGAACGTATGGAAATTTTGGAAATGGTCATCTCGAGTAAAGGACTGCATCAAACTATGCCAAAGACATAGCCTCATTTAAAGTTGCCTGGATTACATTACATATATAGTATACACTGTGAAACTCCCTCTAGAAATAGCTAATAGAATATCTATACAAATTTATACAAGTAACCTCTATTAGCTTTTCTTTTTTGAATGTATGCACCTTCCACATCTAGCTATGTTCCATTCAGTCTACGATTGGCAAGCGGCTCATGACCCAGTATAATGCCATATGGACGCATTTGATATAGAAAATATTCAAATATATACATTTGATAGTAGACCACATAGTGTATGGCAATGATGTAGGATGAGCAGCATTCAATGCCCTATAATAATGGATTTATTATATAAAAATAATACAATACGAATATGATTACAGCGCATACCTCCTTGAATACGAAGTAGACATAATAAGAAAGCCAATACTGTTTATCTATGATGCCCGGCACGAGCATTTTGGGCAATCCAACGGGCAGAAAACGATAGCGATTAAATTTATCTCTCGAATCGCCGGCAGTTACATTCAAATTGTGTAAGCAAACACCCATTTCGTAGTCCTCGGTGCCAATTGAGTTGGGATTGCACCGGTTTTTATAGATTCCATTTTCAACCAGACGTCGCACTGCCTCCCTGCTAAGGACATAGCCAGCACCGCCAGACATATACGTGGGTTCTCTGTGCTCCGCCTGGAAATTGCAGCCAAAGTAAATGGGCTCGTCGGCATCATGGTCCAACAGCATAAAGCGCATATTTTCCAGAATGGCATAGGTATCGTCATCCACTTTATAGAACCAATCTGCTTCGTCCAAATGGTGAGTGTAGACATGCCTAAAGGCCGCCTTCGTCTTGCCCCACAGATGCTTATAGTCCTCGGTGACATTCAAGGCTATGGTATAAGCTTCCTCAAAGCCCTGCTGCTTCGGCGTCTGAGTGCTGAACACGATCAGCTTGTTGCAGTGCCTGGCCCAGGTCTTGCGTATGGTGCGCACAACTTGCTCGTATTTATGTGGATAGCTGAACACCATGCAGAGAATGCGCACCTCTCTGTAGAGCCGTGTTTTAACTTTATCATTGACGGGCAGCGCCGGCTGCTGCATAACAGATCCTGCAGGCAAGGCGGGCATGCCATTGACATGGCCATACGGACGCAAATGGTAGAGCATGAACTCCAGCACATAAATCTGATTCAGATCGACATATGGTAGAATTATAGGCATTTCCATGCTGCTATCAAAGCCCTGTACAATCAGAGAAATGAATAAAATAAAATTAGAAACATGTATACCAGATTTACTCACCTGTCCGGAGTATACGGCGCGATAGATTAATGGCCAGTTCCAAAAGTAACAACGCAGCGTAAAGGGCAGAATCTCTGCGGGCACCTGAAATGGAAAGAGCTGTTCGTTGGGGCCCTGCTCCATGTTGGCAAGGTAACCATCATTCGATACTCTCAACATCTCTTGCAGTGCACTGCGACTGAATATGTAATCCGTGGTGTTCTTCAAGCTGACGTGGGCATACGGATAGGCCGCATGGTAGGCGCTGAAATAGATCATTCGTTCGGGCCGATAGCTGGCCAGTTTATAACGCAAATTCTCCATGATCACATAGCTATCCACGTGCACGTGCAGCAGCCAATCCAAGTCCTCATACTGTGTCCTGGCAATGCGTCGATATGCCTTGTTCACATTGGACACGTCGCTGATGTGCATTCGATTGCAACGAGTGCCCCACGTTTTAAGGATGTGTTTGGCCTTGAGGCGCTCACGATCGTTAGTTAGGTGGAGCAGACAGTGGATGCGCACCTTATGATAGAGCTCATTGGCAATGCTGTGATTGTCCCACTTCTCGGTCCGATTGCCCACATTGACGTCTCGAATGTTCTCTTTGTAGGGCGGCTGCAGGTAGTCCTGTATGGCAATGCGCCTACTACTGAATATAAATAGGTAAAATTCGACGAAAGCGAAAAAAATTAAACTCCAAATAAGAAATGAAAAGAACGTAGAGCCCAAAATGCGCTTTAGACGTTCCAGCAACATTTCTAAATTTAGTTTTCGCGAATTTCAAATCAGTTATTTTCCCGTGCTGCCAGACTGTTTAAATGAGCTCAAGTTACTCGTTCACTGGTTCCGAGACTCATCAAATGAGCACAGCGCTGCCAGATTGCTGAATTGACTTTCGTTTGAAAATATTGCGCTGTCACGAATATTTTACTATACGAATATTTTAACTGATCTATAGCTGCTATATTGCATTGTATTAAAGAAAAAGTGAGCAAAAATAATAGGATTTACAAGACCTACATCTATTAAGCATAGCAGCAAACTAAAGACTTTTGTTAATTTATTAAAGCTAAACCGTTATATATTTTGGGGAACTTGATTCTGTTTAGAACTAGTGCCAACTGAATTAGAGTGTTCTCGTTGTGATCGTCGTGAGCGCGTTTATTATTTGCGGCTCTTTTGTCTACTGCGCGCCACGAAAGTAACAAAAGTAAAAGTGCATCCAATATAAACAAAAGTCCTGTAGTTGGCAGTGCTCGAATTAAATTTATCTCAAAACCTGCGTAAAGTTCTAATTTCATCATTCATGTCTACACACTTGACCGGCGTAAACACATATTACCGGCGCGCACACACATGCATACGCCTACGCACACGCAAAAGCGGATGATCTGCTGCGCAATTTATGCTGCGGCTGCGCTTAGGATGGCTGTGTTATGGTTCTGCAAAGGGAAATAAATAAATAAAATAATTATTCATTTATATAATATAACAGATATATTAATATAACACATGCATTTGGCTAATGACCATTGGATTTGATCGTCTTGACGTTAAGTTTCAAATATATCGATTGACACCGATAAGTGGAATTAGAGCTGGCATATGAACAAATATGACGAATTCATGCTATATATGCTAAACAAATACACATACATACATACATACATATGTATGTAGCTTAAATATACGGTTACAACTTTTATAGACAAATATTTAATTCATATAAAAGTACAAACGTACATGGCTAGCCTTCAGGGCCTAAAATTGTGTTTAATCAGAATATCAGTCGATTTGTTTACCAATTTTGTTGTATAATTAATTTTATAATAAAGTGCGCATTCGCGAAGTGAAGTGAGATAACAATTATACATAGAACAAAAACAAATATCAGTGAATGGTGCAAATGTAAGTTGTGATATATGTATTTGAAATATGATTATAAAAAATAACAATTAATATTTGAATTGATACTATAAACTTATTTTATTCTAATATATATATTTGTGTTAAATAGGTAATTGAAATTAAAATGTTTTATTTAATTATTTTCATTATTTTTTCCTGTTTTCAATTTTAATTAATTTAATGTTAAAATTTGAAAGTTTTAAAATTTAAATTATATTAACTTTTTGTACATTAATTGTTTTACTCATTATTGTTTTTTTGAGTACACAAAATGTTCAATTTTATTATTAATCTTATTACTTATTACTTATTTTACACACATTTTTTAAATTTCATTTATTTTTTTTAATTTTTTTTAATTTTTTTTTTTTTATTTGTTTTACAGATTTTGAAAATGTTAAAATCAAAAGTTCAATTAAGTTTAGTTTATATCATTTTCGAGGACTTTTTTCTCATTAATATTCTTATCAAAATTGGTTCGAAATTCATTGCTGCTAAAACTGTCAAACCCATCAATTTGAAACGGTGCTGAATAGAGTTTAATTAATAAAATTGTCAGAATCAAGCCGACAACGAGCGTAAAGATTTTATGAAGTGCTAAAAATGTTTATATTTAATTCAATAAATCATATTTACTTTTATTATTATCATTTAAATACCTTGTCTTAGCAGCAAATTTGATGTCGTCATTATGAAGTTTTAACTATCACTGAGAATTTGAGAAATATTTCACATATGAAACGAGCTCACAGGTCGAAACACTTGTTTCAACAAAAAGAAAATGGGGTGGTAACTTGTTCAAATTGTTATACTTATTTATGAAAGTGAAATGAGTATATTGCTTTTGTGCAATGTCCGTCCGTCCGTATGAACGGATTTTTTTTCGGCGCTTTTGAAGCTAGGGCCTGTGGAACACATACTCGTGTAATCTTCGATTTATTAAGTGTTAAAATTTTCCGGATCCGCCCACTAACGGCGTGGCAAAACGTAAATTGAATTTTCCGATATGTCAGAAATCATATTATTTGAATCATATTCTTTAGCTATAAAACTGAAATTTTGAATGTAGATTAGTGTTGGCCACCCAAGATTAAAAAGTTATGGCGGATATATCTATACTCATTAGGGCCGTGGCAAATCGGGTAAATTAGTATTTTCCAGAGTTTTAATCTAATGTTTCGAATCTATAAAGATCGATAGCAAAATTATATGTGTACGCCCACTAAGGCGTGCTGAGAGATTCTGCTACCTATTTAAAAACCCAATTTTCAACTTGGAAATTGTTTTCAATAGGCCTGGTCTGATCATAAATATAAATATATAATATACCTTACATCCGATAGCTTAAAAAATTAAAATATGTTAATAGAAAAGGAAAGTTATTATTATAATGATTTAATTTCTCAATTGTTTTTTTTTTCTCTAACTAATATGTTTTATTAAAACTCTTTTTATTTGACAAATTGTTAATTTTTCAGTTTTCATAATATTTTTAAAAAAGATTTTTAAGTAATTGTTTCACTAATTCTTCTTAATAACCAAATTTACAGAACTTTAATTGATATATGTTGATGGATATCTAATATAAATACGATAATCTAAAAAAGTTTACTTAAATGGGTAAGTGATTTTATTTGTTTCTATAATTATATTATACATGGGTTAAGTATTTAAAGAATACAAAAACTTAAGTATTATATTTCTCCTTGCTAATCATAATCCTCATGTTTCTGGCTTTTTTGTCGTTCGCAAATTCTTTTCCGTTTTGAGCTCCTTCTCAATGTCGTCTTTGTCTTCGTCTACTTCTCTTGCATCTGGTTCTATTGGCTGTTCAGTTGTATATAATCTGTCATAGTCATCCATAGAATCCTCGTTGCTGTTGGCGGGCTCTTCCTTTGGCGGCGGCATAAACTCACCCACTTTTAGTTTGGCCGGCAATCGCTCTGTCCTCAGCACACCAAATGGTTTCAGGTGATAAATCAGATAGTCCAGCACATACATGAAGTTGGGCGTGATATAGTGAAAAGCAATCGCATTATCCGAACAGCAATCGAGACCCTAAAAGAAAGATGTACATATATATAGAAAAAAAAGTAATTGTATTCTACTTCTGCAACTCACATCGTCTGTCTTGTAGTAGATATAATTCCAGTACCAAAAATTGGGATCCTTGTAGGGTATTAATATTTGCTCCGGTGCAAAGGGAAACATGCGACCACGCCCATTCACATCACGAGAATCGCCTGCTGTCACATTCAGATTCTCCATGCATTTGCCAATCTCGATATCCTCGTTGATAACGGTGCCAGGTAGACACATCTTGGGATCGGGTATGCCCTCGACCACAAACCTTCGCAGTGCCTCCTTGCTGAGCACATAGCCAGAACCACCCGACATATATCCCTGCTTAACGAAGGGCTTGAACTTGAAGCCAAAGTGAACGGGCGTCTCTGGACTATAGGGATAGAGCATATATCGCAGATTCTCAACGACTGCATAGGTGTCGTCGTCAGCCTTGTAGAACCAATCCGCATCATTATAGTGATGCTTGTAGACGTACTTGAAGGCCTCCTTTACTTTCCTCCACAAATTCGGCCGACCCTCTTCCACATCCAACTTGACTGTGGGCAGCTCATCATCTGCCGCAGAGCTCATGAATAGCAAAATGTTACAGCGTTTACCCCAGGTGCGTTTCACGTGGCGCGCCTTCTTCTTATGATTGTTGGGATTGGTCATGACCCAACAGAGCAAACGCACCTCCCTCTTCAACTGATCAGCGAGCGTTGTATTATCGTGTGGATGTTCGTGTTCGATCACATCTAAAGTTGGTACTCCAACGTCTTTCGTCGGTTGCTGCATGTGTAGATCATTGCTGGCCAAAGTATTGATAGATTTGATATCTTCAGATATAGTCATAAAAGATATAAGCTCAGCCACACAAAATCCAATTAGCATTCCAATGAGAAGTGTCAGTAAGGAGCGGGTTTTGGGTAGATTTCCTAAAATATTCCTCTTTAAATAATTTGATATTATTTTATTAAAAATTGGTTTTATTACCCTCATATAGTATAGAAGATGCATGCATTTTCATGATATTAAAGTTTGTCTGTAATTTTAGAAAAAAATTTTAATGTTCTGTTTAAAAAATTGCAGTTTTATAAACTTTTAAAATGTTAAATTTTAAAATTGGTAAGTTTTTAAATTTAATTTGTTTTAACTTTTTATAAAACAATTGTTTTACTCACTATTATTTTGTTGACTACTCAAAATTATTTATATAAAATTGTTCATACACATATTTTTTATTTTATTTTCAAAAATATTTTTGTTTATAAGGTTTTGGAAATTCTGAAACAAAATGTCCCTAAACTAAGTTTATTTATTTATTTCTTAAACGAAAGTGCACTGAAGTATTTCACCTCACAAACGCAACTAATCGCGCATAATGAGAGCTATATGAGATGTAGTTGTCAATAAGCAACCGAATTAATAGACAACAGCTGTGAAAACACCGTGAAAAGGGTCATTCTTTTATGAATGTAGATATCAAATAATGTTTTTATTTTGTACTTATTTACTTTTTAGCTTGCTCTCTGTTCCACACTGTTTTGTTTGAGTATCTGAATACGAATTCACTGTACATATCAACAGAGCATAAAGATAAATTATCATAGTTGAATAATATCTTAGATAACTCTTAGGTTTTGCTTTCAATTAAGTTTAGTCGCTCTTCTCTTCTTATATCATTTTCGAGGACTCTTTTTTTTTATTAATATCATTATCAAGTTTGGCATTATTTTTGTTTTGTTATTCATTGCTGCTAAAACTGTCAAAGACATCAATTTGAAACGGTGCTGAGTAGAGTTTAATTAATAAAATTGTCACAATTAAGCCGACAGCGAGCGTAAAGATTTTACGATGCGCTAAAAATGTTTATTTTTTGTTATTAAATAAATCATATTTACTTTTATTATTATCATTTCAATACCTTGTCTTAGCAGCAAACTTGATGTCGTCATTATGAACTTTTTTATTTAACATACAAAACATACTAAAAGGCCGAAACCCTTGTTTCAGAAAGATGAAAATATGATCTAAACAGTTGCCAATGTTCGTTTAACTTGTTCAGATTGTATTTTCTTTAGTTCAATAAAATTACACATTGAAACTAGAATATACTTTGATTGGTAGATTCAAATTTAGAGTGCACTAAACACGAGCCCGAAAACTATGGGACTAATGTCAAAAATCTTAAAATGTTAATTTGAAGTGAACGTCGCATTATCAAGCTAAGAAATATTTGTTTAGGCAATGTCAGAGGGAAAGGGAAAAAGATAATAAGAAGTGAGAGATAATAATAGTGTTAAGAAGAAGGAAAGATTGAGCATATACTAATTGACCTAGTTGTTGTTATAGAACTTAAATGGTAATTAGCTGATGTCGTATATCCCCACTATAGAATAGATAACATTTTATGTCGCTTAGAATTTGGAATATGGTTTCAGTGGAAACCACATCTTGTGTGGCTTGTGCAAAGTTTATTGCAGGGAGAGTCTACAGTGATCATTCTGCATTTGTGTGAGGTGGCCGAAAATATGTTCTGATAGGAATCTTCTTCACTTCAATTCCATTTTTCCATTTTTGGATTGTAAAACTGTAGGGGATATAGTTGTTCTTCAAGTCCTTGGTTTATTATTTTGTAAGCTTTTCTTATGAGTATTAAGTATTATGAGATATTATTTTTCGATCTTATACTGAAATTATTTCCCAAGTATTAAAAATAAATATAGAACACTTAAAATGAAATACTAAACGCATTGTCTTGCCTTTGAAGTCCAGTTAAGTAAATATATTTTTGAAAATTAGCTTATGTAGATAGTATGTATATATATATATATATATAAATTACTTTTCTACACTANTCTCGCATCGGGTTCAGTTTGAGTTTCGTTCATTGTAGTTTTGTTTATCCTATCATCATCATCCATAGAGTCCTCATTGCTGTTGGCGACCTCCTCCCTCGGCGCGGGCAAGAGCTCACCCACTTTTAGTTTGGCGGGCAAACGCTGCGCTCTGATCACCCCAAAGGGATGCAGATGATAGATTAAATAGTCTAGCACATACATGAAATTGGGCGGAACATAGTGAAAAGAAATCGCATTATCCGAACAGCAATCGAGACCCTTTATTAAAATATTAGATTAAACATTCATCCAATCATTCATGAATGCATTCATTTAGCCACTTACATCGTCTGTCTTATAGTAGAGATATTTCCAGTACCAAAAATTGGGATCCTTGTAGGGTATTAATATTTGCTCCGGTGCAAAGGGAAACATGCGACCACGCCCATTCACATCACGAGAATCGCCTGCTGTCACATTCAGATTCTCCATGCATTTGCCAATCTCGATATCCTCGTTGATAACGGTGCCAGGTAGACACATCTTGGGATCGGGTATGCCCTCGACCACAAACCTTCGCAGTGCCTCCTTGCTGAGCACATAGCCAGCACCACCCGACATATATCCCTGCTTAACGAAGGGCTTGAACTTGAAGCCAAAGTGAACGGGCGTCTCTGGACTATAGGGATATAGCATATATCGCAGATTCTCAACGACTGCATAGGTGTCGTCGTCAGCCTTGTAGAACCAATCCGCATCAGTATAGTGATGCTTGTAGACATACTTGAAGGCCTCCTTTACTTTCCTCCACAAATTCGGCCGACCCTCTTCCACATCCAACTTGACTGTGGGCAGCTCATCATCTGCCGCGGAGCTCATGAATAGCAAAATGTTACAGCGTTTGCCCCAGGTGCGTTTCACGTGGCGCGCCTTCTTCTTATGATTGTTGGGATTGGTCATGACCCAACAGAGCACACGCACCTCCCTCTTCAGCTGATCAGCGAGCGACGTATTTTCATATAGATGATCATGGCTAGCCATATGGCGATCGAGTACTGACTCATTGATAATTTTGTAGGGGTTTGATATATCCGCACCAAAAGATGATTGCTGAGTTACATACGAATCAAAGGGATCAATCGCTGCTGGCGTGCTGAATATCTTTATAAGGCAAATGCCTACAGCTATGCCCGCAGTGAAAACTATTATGGGATGTCGCACAATGAATTCGCGTTTCAAATACATTTTGTTGCATAAAACACAATAAATAATAATCCTCCAATAAATAATTTCACATCACTAATTAGACTTGTCTTTTAATAAGGAAAAGCAGAACCGAGAACCGAGAACCGAAACCGAGCGTAGCATGAAAGCAACTGACAGCAACTGAGGAGTGAGCTATATTAAGAAGACTTCAGTGCTTAGCATAAATTGATAACGAAAACATTTCAGAAACGTAGCACAGATATCATTAAGAGCATAGCTCTATGCACACGTATTTATGGTTAATTGCATTAAGGAGCCAACATTTGTTCTCTTCTGTTTTCTGTTGATATTGTGAAAGGCTGTAAATTTAATTTTATTGCATTTTACGTAGCTAAAAAAGAATTTTAAAGTTTGTAGTTGTAATTATATGTATATCAGTAATAAGCCATTAATATTAAATATACACATATATACATATAAAATACATGTATTGTAAGAGTTAATA